GAAGCTCTCAGAATGACTGAAGACGAAACCATTTCTACCTTCCACAGTAGGGTTCGGAACTTGATGAACCGAGCCTCAATTCTTGGGGAACCATTCACTGATGAGAGAGTGGTAAAAAAGATTCTCAGATCTCTACCTAAACGTTTTCGAATGAAAGTAACGGCTATTCAGGAACACACAGGTTGGGAAAAGAAGACTGTCGGAAAACTCATGGGAAGCTTGCACACATATGAACTGAAAGTTCTTGCTGATGATGATGTTGGAAGCAACAAGAAAGGAAAGTCTGTAGCCTTTGTGGCTGAAGCTGACCGAGAATCTGACACAGACGACATAGATGATGAAACCCTAGCTCTCCTAACCAAAAACTTCAAGAAAATCTTAAAAGGGTTCAACAGAAAGGGTCAAGGTCAGCCTACAAGAACACAATACAAAGGCAACAACCCTTCATATCAAAAGGTTGAAACAGCACCCTTCTCTCAGAACAATCAATCTCAGACTGGGCGATCGAGACAAAACAGAAGTAGTACCACAGACACAGGAAAACCCCTCAATCGGTCAGTGCAGTGTAGGGAATGTGAAGGATATGGTCACATACAGGCTGAATGTGCAACTTATCTTAAAAGGAAAAAGGCTATGTCTGTAGTTACTCTACTCTTAGTGATGATGAGGAGGAAAATTCAAATGATCAATCAGATGATAATGTAGGAAACTTTGTAGCATTCTTCACTGCCACAAACATTCAATCAGACGGAGATCAATCAGATGGAGAATCATACATATCAACAGATGATTTTGAAGAGAGACATATTCAACTTGAGGCAGAATTTGCAAAACTTGTCACTAGCTGGGAACAACTTGTGAAAGTAAATAAGAATCTGAATGACGATCTAAAGCAGAAAGATGATCTTATAAAAAAACTGAATGCTGAACTGGTCATAAAAGAAGATCTCATCACTCAGATACGGTCCAGAGAAGGTAAATTAATCAAGGAGTTGGAGAGCTTGAAGAAAAATATACAGATGATGGACACCACATCTACCTTAGATAAAATTCTAGACTCTGGCAGAAATCCTAATGATAAAAAGGGTCTGGGATTTGAGCAAGGAGAATCTTCGAACAACGCACCAAAGTTCATCAAAGAGGGAATGTCTAAGACCACAGCATATCACAGGTATGAACAAGGACAGTCATCTCAGTCAGTACAAATCAAGGAAAGGAGATACGGTACTAACACTGACTAGGACAAATCAACTTATCAATCTCATTATTCGAGATTCAAAAATAAGATTGTCAAAGTTAAATATTATACTCCCATTTGTCACTACTGTCACACAAAAGGTCATACTCGTCCCGAATGCTATTTTTTTTTACAGAGATCAAAGGAAGGAAAAATATCAGAATAAGACTATTACACCATTCACTAGACAGGTTTGGGTCAGAAAGTCAGAAGTTATCTGTTATCCCACCATTGTTCTAACTGCATCTACAACTGATGGTAGATGGTATTTCGACAATGGTTGTTCCAGACATATGACAGGAAACATTAAATGTCTGAGGGCTGTTCAACCTAGCAGTGGAGCTGTAACATTTGGAGATGGACAAAAGGGTAAAATCGTTAGGAAAGGTGTCCTAAATGTTCCAGGTTTACCTCAATTAGAAGAAGTCTTGCTAGTCAGTGGGTTAAAAAGCGAATCTTATTAGCATCAGTCAGTTATGTGATCAAAATTGGAATGTATGCTTCAATCGTAACTGCTGCAGAGTGAGTGACAAAGCAAATCAACTTGTCATGGAAGGAACTCGGTCTTCAGACAACTGTTATGTTTTGAATCAAAACTCTGGCATAGAAGACTGGGTCACATAAATTTCAGAGACATGGATAAGTTGATAAAACTGAAAGCAGTAAAAGGTATACCTAAGATCAGAATTGATCCAGAGAAAATTTGTGGCGCATGTGCTATTGGGAAACAAATCAGAACTCCACACAAAGCAGTAAGAGGTATCACCACTGAGAAATGTCTAGATCTTGTCCATATAGATCTCATGGGGCCAACACAGACTGAAAGCATTGTAGGAAAGAAATATATATTTGTGTGTGTAGACGATTTCTCTCGATACAACTGGGTTTACTTTCTGAGAGAAAAGACAGAAGCCTTCAAGGCCTTCAAGACTCTATGCATAAGAGCTCAGAAGGAAAAAGACGAGTCTATTATAAAAGTTCAGAGATTGAGGAGTGATCATGGAAAGGAATTTGAGAACTCACTATATTCAGACTTCTGCTCCGAGCATGGTATCTCACATGAGTTCTCAGATCCTAGAACTGCTCAACAGAATGGAGTGGTGGAAAGAAAGAACCGAACGCTACATGAAATGTCTAGAGTTATGCTACATGCCTCACATATGCTACAACGTTTCTAGGCTGAAGCAGTACACACAGCGTGTCATACTATAAATAGGGTCTACCTTAGACCAGGAACGACGAAAACTCCATATGAGATCTGGAAGGGAAAGAAGCCAAATCTGAAATACTTTCATGTGTTTGGGACAAAGTGCTATGTGCTGGCTGACAGAGAACAAAGAGGGAAGTTCGAACCCAAAAGTGATGAGAGCATCTTTCTTGGATACTCTCCGAATAGTCGTGCCTACAGAGTCTACAACAAGAGGACTCAGTCTGTGATGGAGTCAGTAAACGTCGTTGTCGATGACAATCCAGAAGAACCAGTGAACTCAACAGTGATAGAGTCACCTCTATGTGATTCAGATGCAAGTAATAACAACAGTCAGCTCAAACCACAAGATTCATCAGATGGAGATCAAGAAAGTTCGGAACAAGAGATAGATCTCATGAATGATGTTGGTAAAGACAAACCTACCAGAACTCAGAAAAACCATCCATCAGATAACATTATTGGAGATCTGTCAGATGGAATGAAAACCAGAAGCAGAATAAGAAATAATCTGACAGAAATATCTGGGTCTTACTGCTATATCTCAAAGATAGAACCCAAAAATATCAAAGAAGCTCGACAGGATGATCTGTGGATCAATGCAATGCAGGAGGAGCTACATCAGTTTGAGCGGAATCAAGTCTGGAATCTTGTACCAAGACCTGATGGTGTCAACGTAATAGGAACGAAGTGGATCTTTAAAAATAAAACTGATGAAGCAGGGAATATAGCCAGAAACAAAGCTCGGTTGGTGGCTCAAGGTTATACACAGATTGAAGGGGTTGACTATAACGAGACATTTGCTCCTGTAGCTAGGCTTGAGTCAATCAGAATCTTGCTGGCTGTCGCCTGCATTTTGGGATTTACATTATATCAGATGGATGTCAAGACAGCGTTTCTGAATGGGTATCTCCATGAAGATATCTATGTGGCTCAACCTAAAGGTTTTGAAGATCCAGAACGTCTTTCGTATGTCTATAAGCTTCGAAAAGCTCTCTATGGCCTTAAACAAGCCCCACGGGCCTGGTATGAACGTCTGACACAGTATTTGCTCCAGCACGGATATAAACGCGGAAGTGTTGACAAAACTCTGTTTGTCAAAACGATTGGAAGTCATGTAACCATAGCTCAAATCTATGTTGATGACATTGTGTTTGGATCAACCTTGCAGAAATACACTGATGAGTTGGTAAAAGTCATGGAGGAAGAGTTTGAAATGTCCATGGTTGGTCAACTGACATATTTCCTAGGTCTACAAGTCAAGCAAAGTTCTGAAGGATACTTTATTTCACAAGAAAAGTATGCTAAAAATCTTGTCAAAAAGTTTGATCTGGAATCATGTAAACCGAACACCGATCTCCACTTCTACAAAAGTATCGAAAGATGAAACTGGTATATCAGTGGATAACACAGTTTATCGTAGCTTGATAGGCAGTCTGTTGTATCTAACAGCCAGTCGACCAGACATAATGTTCAGTGTTGGAATCTGTGCAAGGTATCAATCTGACCCAAAGGAATCACATCTGATAGCGGCAAAACTCATTCTAAAATACGTGAAAGGAACGATACAGTATGGACTCTGGTATTCCAAGGATAGTGAACTGAATCTGGTTGCATATTGTGATGCTGATTGGGCAGGGAATATTGATGATCGGAAAAGTACTTCTGGAGGATGCTTCTTTGTTGGGAAGAACTTAGTATCATGGTTAAGTAAGAAACAGAACTCTATCTCACTAAGCACTGCAGAGGCAGAATACATAGCCGCAGGTGGTTGCTGTACTCAGTTGGTTTGGATGAAACAGATGTTTCTGGATTATGGTCTTACATAAGGAATAATGACACTCTTTTGTGACAATGTCAGTGCTATTAACATCTCCAAGAATCCTGTTCAACATTCCAGAACGAAGCATATTAGCATTAGGTACACTACATCAGAGACCTGGTTGAATCCAAGAAAATTGAGTTGGAATACATTCAGACTGACAAACAACGGGCGGACATTCTGACTAAGCCACTGGATGCTAATCGTTTTGAAATTCTCAGATCTGCTCTGGGAATTTGCAGAATTGACTGACTAAAGCAGTTGGTCTGTCAGAGAGGAGTTGGTTTAATACGGGTCAGTGTTATGACTTTGAATTTCCTTAAAGACTCCTCTCTTTTTATGTTAAGAAGATCATCTAAGCTTATTCTTCTCAGAAGATATCTTAAAAGATCTCAATGCTTTTTGAATTTCAAATTCCCTTGGGTTCCGTTTCCTTCCTAAAAAGGAGCTGTACCGTTGTGTCCATCAATCACTTCTGCATGATATTTTGACTTGCTGCATTAATTAGGGTTCATCACCCTTAAGCCTATATGATACCGGGTCAAGAAGAAAGAACTCACCTCAGCTCTCATCTCTCCATTTACCGTGCTTATCTGCTCTCGGTGTTTTATTCTTCTTCTCGCACTTAATCTTAAATGGCGGACTCCGTAAAAAACATCATCATTAAGCTTGGAAGCAAGGTACACCCTCCGGCGGCAGCCCTCAAACACATTCAGACACTTCTATAGTTGGCTATGAAGAAGAAGCTCAAGCTTGATCCTCTGCTTCGCGACGAGATTATGGTGACTGTTATGACCAACTATCCGGAGTTTTATGCTGAATGGTTGGCAGATGATGTAACTGAACTTCTTGTGTTGGTCGCCGAAGCCAGTGATGACGTCTCTCCAGTGTTTATTCCAGAACCCTTCGATGGAAATTGGGCCGGGGCATTCCTTCAATTTTTTGCTCAACGTGCCCTACAATTTGTTGAAGAAGCTCGACGACGAGAGGAATCCCAAGCTCTGTATCTTGAAGCTGCTCAGAGAGAAGCAACACACAGACAGGAGATTCTTCGACAACGGGTAAATGATTCTGAAACCCCTATTGAAATTTCTCCTGATAGACCTGTTGATTCTTCTATTCCATCGTCTGTGTCTGTTTTGCCTGAAAATCAATCTTCTTTGGGTTCCGAGAAGTCCCCTGTGAATGTTGATCCTTTAACTTTGCCTGTGACTAATTTTGCTGGTGAAAAATCTGATGCGTTACATGTGTTTGATGAGAAAACAAAGTCCTCTGATGAGCCAAATCCACTGAGTCTGGTTGTTTATGCTTCTGAGAACATTGCTCTGCCTCCGTCTGAAACTGTTTATGTCTCTAAAGAATCTTGTCCTGCTGTTGATCCTCCTGCCTTACCTGCAACTGTTAAAATTGTTGATTTATCAAGTCCCCACAAGTCTGAGAAAACAGGTGGAGTTCCTGTTTACACTGCAACATCTTTGGGAGAAAGCCTGGAACATGTGCGACTTTTTGCTGGGTTACCATCTGCTTCGATCCCTCAACCTTATGGAGTGATACACTCTTCAGAATCCTCCAGTGAAGATGATAAGATTCTGGCTAAGGTGTATGGATCCCAAGCACCTTCTTCTACTGCCCCTACTGTTGAGGGAACTACTCATCCCGATTCCACGAATTTCAGAATTCGAGAGATATCAAATATTGTTGGGAGCTCATCTGCAAATGTTTCTGATTCTAGCCACTCGGTGACTCCTGTTCAGTCCCCATCCAGAGAAACAAGACGGATAAAAAGGAAGAATGTTCCAACGAAGGTTGTTGTTGAAACCAGTGCTGATAATGTTGATGTGGGTCAGCCTGTGAAGAAGAGAAAGTCGAGTGACACTGCTAAGCCTGAAGGAGACCCACCTATCCACCAAGTTTTCAAGACTCTACGTTCCTCTGTTAAGCAACGAGGCACTACTGCTGCTCAAGCTTCTTCTGCACCAGCCCCCTCTGTCAGAAAAGGGAAACCTACCACAAGGTCAAGAGGTCGAAGTGTAACTCCGGAGGTTCCACCTATTGAAGGAATTGATACTACTGTTTACAAACCTCAGTTTGTATCTCCTGCTGCACAAACAAAATGGGCCACTATGGTTAGAAGAGAGCTGATTGTTCAAAGAACTGTGGATAAGAATCAACTGAACTCCGTTTGCGACATCCTGCCTTTGCTGAATGAAGTTGGTCTTTTGAAAACTGTTACAGATGTTTGCCCTTACTCCAAGCTGCTCACATATGAGTTCTATTGCAATCTCAGTGATGAGATTGACAGTCTCACAGGGCCACGACCGATGCAAGTCTTCATCAGAGGGAAGTGGTATGATTTTGGGCCAGATGTGATAAATAAATACTATGGCTTGCCTACAGTGCAAGAAGAAGCTGTTACTGAATGGGATGTGGTGGCCAAAACTCTTACTGGTGAACATACTACATCTTGGCCTACAGGAGATAAGGACTATTTGCTGAGCTCGCATCTCACGTCTAGATATGTCATCCTACATCGCCTGGCTCTGCACAACTGGCTTCCATCAACGCATTTCAACACGGTTGGCAAGCTTCTGGCAGGGTTCTTATTTAGAATTGGAACTAAGATGTAGTGTGATCTGGGCAAATGGATTTTTTATCATGTTCTAACTCTGGTTCATCCCCGGGAACAGAAGGTAAGACTACTGTTTCCAAATCTGATTTTTGGCATCCTTACCTCTCCTCTCAGGGTCTTAAGCCTATGCCCAGCGAAGTGATCAGTCCGACGCTGCTTTACACTGTTGATAAACGTCTTCTTTTTGGAGATCATATTAATGATGTCGTTCCTGTGACTGCCCCATCCAATTCGGAACCTGATGCTGTGAATGATGAGTCTCCACATGCTAAAGATGAGAGGCTTTCCGAACAATTGAAGGCGCGAGTTGCTGATCTTGAGACGGTGCACGGTATCATTGCCAAGCAACTGACTGGTGCGCGCACTGAGCTAGCTACTGTTCTTCTCCGCATGAGCCTGTCTGCTACTGCTGCTGCTGCTGAGGATCCCGTGAAGTTTGACAGTGACTCTCCCTCAAATGTTTAATCTTTGGCTACCATTGGCAAAAAGGGGGAGTAGTAACACAGGGGGAGTTTTTGTGATCGAGTACTTTCTGGCCCTGGCTGGGCGTTATGTTTTGATGTGGTTTTTTTTTTTTTTTTTTTTTTTTTTTTTTTTTTTAGACTGCTTTGGATCTTATGTTCTTTTTATCCTATGTAATCAGTTTGGACACTTGGGTTGCTTCTTTTAATAACATATCTTAGTTCTTTTTATATAGTTGAGTTGTTTTGCCAAATAATAGCCAAAGGGGGAGCTTGTAAGTGTTTTTATGTTCAAAAACCCCATATTATAATTGGAAATATTATTATGGCATACTAAGATAGGTTTAGAGTCTGTCCGGTTGGGTCTACAGTTTACTGATCAAGCAGAAGCAACGACAGAAGAACTGACACTGAAGATCTGATTTAGGAAAGCTGTTTTCTTAAGAGTCTTACGCGGTTTTATCAGCTCAGTATGGAAAGACGATCAGCGTATCTTCAAAGAAGGTAATGGACCTAATCAGCTGAGATTACATTGCTCTTTTATAGTCCTACCTTCTACAATCAAAGATCTTTTATGGAGAGTGTTTATAGAAGGATCTATAAGTACCAGTTCTTTAAGGGAACTAGGGTTACGCCAAAAAATAAGCAGAAGAAACACTCCAGATCAGTTTGATGAGTCTAGATCTTTGATGGTCATGTACCTTCTCAATACAACATGTTCATGGTGATTAAGATGATGAACTTGAGAAGATTTACTGTTGCTTAAACGAAATGACACTAAGATCACACTGTTGTGGGAACAACCTTATAGAGCGTCACTGAAGTGGACTGCATCAGAGCTGGCTCTCCAAGTGAAGGGATTTCATTGGACTTCTGTATGCATGGCTCTCCATCTTCAACAATCCACTAAACCTGTGTAGACTGGGTATGTACCTTGTGTGGGGAACTTGGGTAAGATTATTGTATATCTACCTTTGTACATTGGATTATGACTTAGTGGATTGGACGCCTATGTGATCGTCCCCCAGACGTAGATACACACTGTATCAAACTAGGTAACATTGTGAGTGTTCGTTCTGTGTGTTTGTTTATTTTTCTCTGATGTTCTCTTTATGATCTATCATTACTAAGTAGGAGCTTAACTGAATCAATCAGTATTCTAAGACAGCAAACATTTTTTGATAATTTACGTAATATGAGGAAATGCAAAATTACAAAAACATAATACACACACCCAAAGAAAATGGTACAAACACTGCCAAATGAGAGCAAAAAGCTGTCATTTGGCAGTTTGCAATCAAACGTGGCAATAAAAGAAAAATAAAAATACTTTTTTTTCTACATCACCTTGAAAATCGCACATTGTCAAGGTTTAAGACAATCTTAGGGCATCCCCAATAAAAAATTTTAAATAGTTTTTTTCATATGCAAAAACTTAGATGGAGTTTTTCAACAAATGTGTGTGGAGTTTTTGGGTGTTTTTATTCTTGCAAATGCAAAACTTTTGTGGAATCTATTAAGCTGGGCGCGTGAATAAACTTTATTTATTTATTTTACATTTTTTTTGCCTCAATTTTTTCTCTTTTCTCTTCCTTCTCTTTTCCAAAACCACCAAAAGACTTGCATATTGTTAATGTTACTCTTAGAACTCCAACTCTCCAACCCACTTTTAAATGTACGTCCCAATTTCACTTAACATTAAAAAATTTTTCTCTTTTTTTTCAATAAATATTATTTTCTCTTCACAATTATTCTTTTATATCAATATATAAATTACTTTTAAATATTAAGAATAACAAAAATGAAATTCCAAAAAATGTAATTTTAAAAAATTAAAAATTATTCGTATTTCGTCTATAATCAAATGCAAATTATATTACGTAAAAGTTTTATTTAAAATAATTTGTGTTAATGTAACAATTTGAATTACGATTCGAATATTGTTATTTTTTTATCTGTAATGCAAGCTTGCAACATAATATGACATTAAAAAAAATTTCCACCTCACTTTGAAAGTGGTACATTTTCAGGTTGTAGTTAGCTTAATGCTACAATTGCAAACTGACAAAGGCTGCCATTTTGGTAGCTTTTAATTTGCTAGTTTATTATAATATTATTATTGAAAGTGAGTTAGAATTGGAGTTTTTTGCAATTTTGGTCCCACGATTATAGTGACACTATCAGAATTGATTCGCAACTTTCAAACTTTGTAATTTCAGTCCGCGATTATTGTTTTTGTTGCAAAAATGGTCATTCCGGCCAATTTTCCGTCAAAATCTAACCGGATTCCACATTTCCAGCAGGGATAAAATAAATATTTACATTGACCTTGCAATCTCGGACCGCTGTTGACCTCTTATTCTGATCAATGTTCAAAAAAATTAAACAAAAAAAAAACCCCAATTGCCAGAGACGAATCCTGACCTGCTCTCATCTCATCAACGATGTAGCCATTATGTTTTCCTTCAAAATAAAGAAGATGAAGATCGGCAATGGATGGCGTGTTGAAGATGGAAATCAATGTTTTCCTCTTGTTCGTAGATGGGTTGATGAGATGAGAGCAAATTAGACTTCGTCTATGGCAATTGGTTTTTTTTTTTGGTTTGATTTTTTCGCATTTTGGTCAGAATAAGAGGTCAACAGCGGTCCGAAATTGCAAGGTCAATGTAAATATCTATTTTATCCCTGCTTGAAAATTGAAATGGGGAATTTTTTTTTTCCGGTGAGATTTTGACGAAAAATTGGCCGGAGATTTTTCAGCTTCTGGGTCAGAATCCATGTTGGTGATTGCCGTGAATGCCGCAAAGTTGCCGAAGATCTCTCCTGTAGCAGATCCTGGATCAGGTTTAGGTTCATCGTCGTCACTCCAAGTTAGAGCTGTCTTCATTGACTTCTTACACCTTAGGTATGTTGCGCATTCTGCTCGAACATGGCCGAAACATTCACATTCATAACACCTAATGCATTTTCCACTTGACTTCTCCATGGACTGAGAGTTTCATGATGAAGATGAGCGAAAGTTAGTAGATCCAGTCTTTTGGTTGTTACGTCATGCATTTGATGTTGATCCCTTCTGGTTTTGAAACTTTCCATTTCGAGAGTTGATCATCTGTTTTACCTGTTTCAAAAGCATCGAAAATTGTTTAGTTAAAAATTCAACTGGATCATCATTTACCTCGTCTGGATCAGATATAGACTCATGTTCTTCAGCTATAAAGGCAATGTTTTTCTTCTTTTTCATGTGGTTAGAGAGTATTTCCATCTCATAGGTTTGCAAGTTTCTCATTAATTGAGCTACTATTTTGTTCTCCCACCCATCATGTTCTTGAATGATTGTGACCTTCATTCTAAATCGTGGAGGGAGTCAGCGCAAGATCTTCTTGACAAGTTTAGGTTAAGAGAAAGGTTCGCCTAGAACGATTGCACGATTTGCTAGTTCCTGAACACGAGCATGAAAATCAAGTATTGCCTCATCATCTTATATTTTTAGATCTTTAAAATAAGATTGGACCATTTGCAGTTTGGACTGCTTGACAGAATCTGTCCCTTCATAAGTAGTTTCCAATGTCTCTCACGCCTCCATAGTTGAGTCAAAACCCGTGATAATAGTGAATTGACTTTCATGCAATAATGAAAAAATGATATCTAACGCCCTATTGTTTTATCCTGCGGTAGTCATCTCAGCATCAATCCATTCTGTCTCTTGTTTGAGGACTGGAGGATCTTCTGGAGTGGCTCCACTAGCTTTGGTAGGATGAGTCCACCTAGAAAGAATAGCCCTCCAGACCCTCTCTCTTTGAGCTCGTAGATGCATTTTGGTGCGGGACTTCAAGTACCCATAGTTGTCACCTGTTACTTCAGGAGGTGCTCTATGTCGTTCCATGCTGCAAGACTCAATGCACAATAAGCAAAAACATAATAACTAGAAAATCAGAATAAAGAACAGACAACGAGAGCTTGAGTTCAAGAAACATGAAAAATATAGATCGGTTAGACTAATATTTTAAGTCACCAGGCTCTAATACCAATTGAAAAAGTTCGTGGATCTTGAATGCAAGACTTTTCCTAACGGGGCCTACTTAGTTATAAGTTTTATTATTAATCTGGATTAGAGACAGGATCTGCGTCAGAAATTAAACTAACTAGAACAAGAAATAAAAGGAACCAGACACCAATGTATGTTCACGCAGTTCAGAGCCTCACTCCTACGTCTGCGGGGCCACTCATGTCAGTCCAATCCACTAGATGATCAACAAGGAGTACAAAGGGAGATTACATTACACACTACAGCATAAACTACAACTACTCCCAGTGCATCATTCATCATCACCATGGACTTGACATGCAGGCTATCTTCACCACAACATGAACCAGTTGAGAAACCTTCAACACACGAAAATATTGATAGAAAAATCAGTGGAGGATTTGAGGAATGATATGTGGAATTTTAATCCTTGAATCTTTTAAAACATAAGAAACACAAAGTAGCTTTTTATAGGAATAAAAGGATAACCACTTGGTCTGAAAGTGTGTAGCC